CATATATATGTATACATATATATGTATACATATATATGTATACATATATATGTATATATATATATATATGTATACATATATATGTGTATATACATATAATGTGTGTGTATATTAGGTGTATAAGCAATCACACATCACATAAGCAATCACACCAGATGATCATGGACCACATCTTAATATGATCAGGGCCGAGCTAGTGGGCTCAATCACTCACATCATGATCTATGTGTATATCGGTGTATCTCCATGCCCTGTGATCATCCATCTCGTCATCGTCGGTTCCGTCGGCATCTGCATGCGTTGCAATCATTCGTCTCGACCTTATGGGTCCCATTATCGTTTCTATGCTCTCACTATGCCTCTTCATATAATTACAACTTAATCACAGGCACACAAGTCCGACAATAAATGAGAAATAAATTGGAGGCTTACAGGCCCCAATAATAATAAAAATCACATCATATGTATACACACATCACATGGTCTATGATTATCCGTCCACATCACACATACACATCACCATATAGGACTACTAGATAAGAATAATTAAATTATTTAATTAATTATTCTGTAGTATTTTTAGAACCCTACCATAACGTATCCCCATATGACAAGTAGTCCCTTAAGTGGATAGGAAATCTTAGCCACTAAGAACTCCCTTGTGGCTAAGAATCCTAGGCCACAAGGTTGACTTATGTGGTTAGGAAACCTTGGCTATAGGGTAGCCTTGGGCAGCCAAGAATCCTGGCTGCTAGGGCAACTCTTACGGCCAGAAAATCCTAATTGCTAGGGGTGCCCCTTGTAGCTAGGAAACCTAGCTATAAAGGCTGCCATGCAATATATTGAGAGCACCCATGTTGCTTATATTCATGCTGCTTTTTGCCATGCCGAGAGCAGTAAAGTAAAGCTCTCAACTAAGACTGCAAGTAGCTTTCGACCAAGGGATAACAATAGTTGCTACCCTTTCTTCCCTTTTTGTGTCAATAAAATTTGACATCAAAAGCCGTCTCCAAAATACCTCCAAAAGCACCTCTATATATATATATATATTTTGGTGATTCAAACCCGTGGAATATGCTGAGATCTCGGACTAGAACTAAAGCAAAGATACGAGTCGTAGCCGTGAAGTGCCAAGCTGAGGAGAACTCCTCCGAAGATTTTAATGTGACTCTTGATGATTTGATGAATATTTTATGTTAAGGTGACTATTGATGATTCAAATTTGGTGCAACGAACCTTGTCGTCTCTTGCCATGCCTGCGTGTGCGGTACGGCTCTGCCATCATTGTGATTGGCTTACGAAAGAAGCCACTCCACACCTTTGGTGTTCAATACATCGACGAGACAATCGAGTGCCCTTCTTGGCTGTAAAGGCCACGGTTTGATGCGCCCTTTTCGCTGTTACCTCACATGCGCACACACATATAGCTTTAGGGTACGATTAAAATATAGCTCTAGGCGTACCAAACGCCGTTCTAACCCTCTTTTCGGAGATTGTGGTGCGACTATTTGGAGCACTTCCATATTTATCTATTCCGACGTTTGACACGTTGCCGACAATAAGTGTCATCATATTTTGTCGCTGGTCCTCAACCAATCACTTGCAGGAGTGTCACCAATATCTTTAGTTTCACCTATTATATTGTTTTGATCTATACTGTTTTTTTATTTTTTTTCCATCACAACATAAACAGTATAAAGTCTACTTACAATATTATAAATAGGCTAAACAAAATCCAAATATATTAAAAATTATTTAATATATTGATTCAAATAAGTATCTATAATAATTTAAAACAAATAAAAATAAAAATAATTTATAATAATGATAATAATAATAATATTATTATTATTACAAAACTTAATTAAAATCATTATAAATGATCAAAATAGACTCAACCTTATCCAAACCAACTACAAACCTAAAAAAAATGATATGATGTCAATTATTTTTAGTAGCGTTTAAAGTGTTTTTAGTATCTTAATAAAAATATCATAAATAATATTTAAAAATACTATAACTGTATAAAATTGATTAAAAAAAGAGTAAAATTTTTTTGAGATATATTTTAGATTTATTTTAAATTAGAGATATTATTTGAGGAAATATAAAGTGAGAGTACTTAAGAAACATCCAAAATAAAATATTTTCTAAATAAATTATCTCTTATATATATTATTATTACCTATAGTCAAAGTCTTGATTAACTATATTATCTAATATCTTTTAAAAAATCGTTTAATGTTTCGAATCGTTGACATTTAGTAAGTGACTCTGATAATTTACCTAGAATATTTATATTATCAATCTGAACCTCAATTAGCTATATATTTATTTGAATCATATATAGCGACGTATTAAAAAATCACTAAAATGGATATTTATCTCTAATTTAAGTGGGTCGGATAAATTTGATGTGCAATATAGACATGATAGCGTCATCCACACGTGGCATGCGATGTCTCGACGTGCCCTGTGGTACCCGCCCGGCTGAATTATTGCGGGAGTGACGCGACAGGCGCGTCGATTTGTGCCTCTTCGGTGCTCTCGGGACTGGGTGTGGCAGGTGCGAGCCGACAGACGTCTTTTTCTCCCGGCACGTTACGTATTTGACTAATTGTGTGCGACATGAACGATGCGAGAGCCGGATAAAGACGTATTTTTCTCGTAGCGTGTTACATGTTTGATTAATTGTGTGTGAGACGATGTGGGAGAGTGGAGCAGTTGAGCGATGGTAGAAAGAGATCAATCTGGGCGAGGTGGCCGAAGCACCGACTGCTGAGGGCGGAATCGTACGCCAGACTCAACCACAATTGTTAAAAACTAGAATAATCAAGATATTACTACTGCCGTAAGGAAGCAATCAAGGTGGCGTGAAGAGTGGAACTGACCGCTCCCGTCTTCCATAAAGCTTTATCCGGAGTGCGTTGTGAGAAGGAAAGCAGAGGAGATAAGGAAGAGAGAGAGGGAGAGAGCGAGAGAGAGAGAGAGAGGTCATGGCGGTGAAGGTATACGGAGCAGCGATGTCGACGGCCACGGTGCGCGTGCTTCTGTGCTTGGAGGAGATGGGGGCCGAGTACGAGTTGGTGCCCATCGACTTCTCGACCGGCGAGCACAAGTCCCCTCCCCACGTCGCCAGAAACGTAAGTCTCTACCTTTGGGGAGTTCCTCTCTCTGTCTCTCTCTCGCGTCTTATGTGCCGTCTCGTGTGATTTTGGCAGCCCTTCGGCCAGGTGCCGGCCTTCGAGGACGGAGATCTCATGCTTTTTGGTGAGCCATCATCCCTCTTTCTGTGTGTATCTCTTTACCCGTCCTTCGTTTGCTGACACTTGGGGGATCAGAGTCAAGAGCGATCTCAAGATACGTGCTGCGCAAGTACAAGTCATCGGGCCCTGACCTGCTGAGGGAGGGCAGCCTGGAGGAGTCGGCTATGGTGGACGTGTGGCTGGAGGTGGAGGCTCAGCAGTACGACAAGGCGATTTCCGCCATCTACATAGAGACCGTGATCAAACCTGTCTTCTTCGGCGGCGTCCCGGACGAGAAGGTGGTGGCGGAGAGCGCGGCGAAGCTGGGCAAGGTGCTCGACGTGTACGAGGCCCGGCTGTCCAAGTCCAAGTACTTGGCCGGCGACTTCCTCAGCTTCGCCGACCTCAGCCACATTCCTTACACCCACCACATCGTAGCCGGTCCCCAGGCTTCCCTGTTCGAGTCTCGCCCCCATGTGAAGGCCTGGTGGGAGAGCTTGGCGTCGCGGCCCGCGTACAAGAAGGTGACGACCGGCACGCCCACCTCGTAGTGAACTCCTGTTCCCAAAGCTCTTCTGAGGGTTGTTGTCTGAGTGCTGCTGTCAGTTTGAGGCTCTGAAACGCTTTGGTGTGTGTGTTCCGCTTTGGAGCGTTGCTCATGGAATAAGACCCTTTGCTTTCTTTCCCTTCAAGTTGGAGTGCAGGAAAACCATGTTTGCCGATGGAGTGCACAAACAGCTCTGTTTGCTGCTGCTGTTGCGCAGACATGGCGTCCGTTAACCCCAGCAGGAAGAAGCAACGAGTAAAGCTGCTCTTCTTCCTCATTAATCTGTAAAGCCAAAAAAACACGCAACTCCGACAGCTTTGTCTCCATCGACAGCTGCTGTAAGGTGATTGTTTGGGGCATCCTACAGCTAAAAACCGGTGTGTTAAAAAACATCATAGTTAGAAGTATCTACTAAGTAACAACTACATCGTATAGGTCATGCTACCAATAGATGTAATGATGGGCTAATGTAAAAGAGGTAATGGTACAACAAGATCCTCTTAGAAAGGTTGAGGTTAATATCACATAGCTTATCTTAGAAACAGAGAGTATATAAATATTAATAAATTTTTAAAAATTGAGTTTTAGCTTATCAAAGTTAATATTTAGTTTTAAAAAAATTAAATATTAATATTATGTATTTAATTTTTTTTATCAAAATTGGGAGTTTGAAATTTTATCCATATATTTTAAAGTTGAGGGTTTCAAACTTCGATTAACATATTATTTATATTTAAAATATTAATTTAATGATGATATATCTAATTTTTTTGATTTAAAATTTTATTAGTGTCCTAGACTCACTTACAAAAGTTTGAAATCTTATCTAATATATTTTTATATATTAAATATTGATCTAATTATAATGTATTAGATTCTTTTTTTTTTTTTAAAGGAGGGTTTAATATTGTATTTAATATATTTTTAAAAAATAATAATTAATTTAGTTGATAAAAATTTTGATAAGCCATGCATTCATTCACCCATTACTCGATCACCCTCTTCTCTACCAACGTTGGCCTTGGGGGAAGAGATGGCTCCACTAAAGGGTCCCACTTATGGCCTCGAAAGAGCAACCCGTTAAAAGGCTCACCACCTCACCTACCAGCGCTAGGTGGAGGCATGACTCCCCACCCGACCACTTTTCACCCTCCCTCTACCCTAATGGCATCGATTGCGGGTCTCTGGTGGACCCCGATGTTAGTTGCTAATCACCAGGAAGCGATGTTTGTGGCATCCATAGCGGGTCTCCGAAAGAGGATTCTCCGCGACTCGTGCCACTCGCGCGGAGGAGGCAGAAGGGGGCGAATCCTCTCTCTTCCTCTTCGTCGTCCTCTTCTCCTATTTCCCTTGTTTTACCCTCTGTCGGATTAGATTGCGGAGAGGAGATGAGGTTGGTGGGACTGACGGGCGGGATCGCGTCCGGGAAGAGCACGGTCTCCAATCTGTTCATATCTGAAGGCGTTCCCGTCGTCGACGCCGACGTCGTTGCCCGGGTAAATTCATTTAGCATTTGTCACATCCACCACTCCTTTCCTTTGCAAAGATCCTGAATTTTCTCGTTTTGCTTCTAATTTGTCGATGTTGGCTACTAACATTGTGGAAATAAACTTTGTAAAAATTACGATCGCTTGCACTTTTGCTGTGTAGAAATTGATATTGGTTTCATCTGGATTTGATTTCTCTTCATTAGTTAGGGTTTCATCTGTGCGTTGTACAGCCCTTTTTGCTGTGGTCTTAAATGAATGATGAAATTGATGTCCAAAACTATAGTTGGTCTCAATTTTATATGTGAGAAATAACATTTTTGACTTAATTCTGTGTGTTGCAAATTGATTTTTGTTCATCGGTGCCAGCTCGTACGGGACTCCATGTGGCTTTGGAGTTGTGTCACTAATTCTTATCGATCATAGAGTCTGTCGAAAGGACAAAAATGGAGCTGAACGTACATGTGAAAGTAACTCTATTATACTTTAACTCGCGGTGAAAATTCTACACTTTGCACAAAGTTAAAACTTTGAGTACCTTTTCTGTTTTGGCCTCCTTTATCTTAACATTCTTGCTGATGTATTCATGTTTGTGGTTTTTGTACTAGTGATTGAAATGATAATACTGCAAAAGAAAATGATTTGCCTGCTCCAACCACCCAATCCTGCCCACGGAATCTACCACATTCCTCTCTTGTTCAATGATTACATTGTAAATCTTTGACGAGTTAAACCTCAACTACGTTTGTGATCATTTTTCTTATACTGCAGCAATGTACAAAATAACTATTTACATTGATCTTTGGATTCGGGGGTTTGGAACTTGCGTAGGTAGGTTGTTCTTACATGGAAGAATTTATACTTATGTTGCTTCTCATCATTTGTGATCAAGTACTACCGAACTACTTTTGTGCGTTACTTTTCCAATTTGTTGCATCATACTTATAGATACATTTGGGAACTCCATTTTGCGATTATTTTGTGTTTGTCCTAATGCAACAATTTATAATTCTCGCATTTTTCTGAAGCAACTATCAGATTGTTATGGTTTGATATCTAGATAATTATGGTGCTTCAATGCAGGATGTGGTGAAGAAGGGAACGGGTGGTTGGAAGAAAGTAGTAAAAGCATTTGGGAACGATATTTTACTAGAGAATGGAGAAATTGATAGAGCACGGCTAGGTCACATTGTCTTTACAGATCCAGCAAAACGCCAACTTCTGAACCGGTATGGACTTCAAATAGAGCATTACAACTGGAAACTGTTTCCACTCAACTAGGATTGAAGGATTTAATTAGTATATAGAACGGATTGGCTCACGCTTTGACACTTCTATTGATTCTTACTAGTTGTTTGTGTTATACAGTAAGTAAAATTCAACACCTGGTTCTTTTATAACTACCCCTTGCCCAACTTCATGAATAACATTAATAGCAGTTCCTGTTGCTGGATTGCAGCTTGATCATATGCTAAAATAATCAATTTTCCTGTTGGTCTTTCCTTTTAATCAGAGGATGTGGAAATACAAAACTGCACATGAATTTATCTAACTTTTTTTTTTCTTTTTACCTACCTGCAGTTTATTGGCTCCATATATTTCCTCGGGCATCTTTTGGGAGGTATTCAAGCTGTGGATAAAAGGGTCAAAGGTTATCATTCTAGACATCCCATTGTTGTTTGAGACCAAAATGGATCAACAAACATCTCCTGTTATTGTTGTATGGGTTGATCCTGAAACCCAGATAAAACGCTTAATGGCAAGAGATGGCATACCTGAAGAACAAGCCAAAAATAAAATTAACGCACAGATGGCACTGGACCAGAAGAAGACCAAGGCAAATATAGTCATTGATAATTCTGGCACAATTGAAGAAACAAGACTACAATTCCAGAAGGTTTTGAACCAAATCAGTCGACCTCTAACATGGAAAGAATATGCTCTATCCAGAGACGGCATCTTTTTGCTTCTTACATCTGCGGTGGTAGGTGTTTTGGCAGTACGTAAAAATTTACCTTGATGATAGATTTAACTGACATCTTTGTCAACTTGCTGAATGGTTTGCCACCAGTATTTATTTGGTTTAATATCACATTGTATTGTATCGTGATGTCATTGTCAACAAAGTTTAGGCGATGGGGAATGTGCACACAGGCAACCTGTTATCCTGCTCAATGCAATTATCACTACATTTTGTGGTTTTTTCTCACCATTACTGAACCCTGTTTGTGTATTTGACCTCAAAATGGTCAAAAATATAATTTCTTTGGTGAGTCAAATTTATTATTCTCTTGATTATCTCATATATGACTGTCATGAAAAATTGATGGTCGCATTTGATGCTTGGCAATTTGGATGAGCTGTAAATTGTTATAAGCTTGGATGCACATAATTGTGTTTGCAGTTAGTCTTGGAAGCTTGGATACACTAGTTTGCTATTAAATTCTATGGTGGTAGTCATACTGGCCTAGGCAATCATGTTCTTATGCTCATTATTAGAGATCCAAAACATTAGAGAGATTATTCTTTTACGAAACTTTCCATCTTCATCTCACACACCAATATATTTCCTGACAGTCTATTTATGTATTTATTATCTGTTGGCAATCAATAGTATCAGTTTCTGGAACAATTACTTAATAATAAGAAGAAAATAGTTTCCATTTCTGGAACAATTACTAAATTAAAAGCAGAAAATATGTATGTTCTGAGAGCTTCATGAAGAACTTGATAAGCTCACCTAAAATAAACTTGGCATCCAGCCAAAGAAAAAGTGGTGTAAGACTTGGTTATTCTGTCGCTACATTTCCTACATGAAATCTTGTAAGTAAATAAAAATACTTAGCTTAATAATGCCTGTCATCTTTCATATGGATGATCTTAAATCTTTGTTTGGGTTAGCTGTAATGAGATTATTCAGGTGCGGAAAGAGAAGAAAATTCAGAAATTGATATTTGTTCTTTTTTCCATTCATCTCTGTGTTCCTTTCTTTTTTTATTCAAAAGGAACACAAGACATCACAACAAAAACCAGAAGGCAGTACAACATCTGTTCATTCTATCTAATCCCATAAAGCTCATGGAAGGGGCAGTAGGAGTTATCTTCAGGGAATAATCTGCTCTCAAATCAGCTAACTATTACCCACCATTAGAACTTGCAACACATTAAAATAAAATTAAAAAAAAAAAAAAATCTTGCACTGGCAACTTAGCAGCTCATTGATCACAGTTCATGGACAATAATCTGCCCAGCTAGAGAGTCATTCATTACTGACAACCTGCACTGCATTTGGGCATTGAAGTTGCAGATCTAATCAGCTGTTCCTGCAATCTTTCTTGTCAGAATAAATTCAGTGAACAAGGCATGTAAGGCATTTTGTCCGAAGTCTGAAGACTGATTGATGGTGTCAAAGTGTTGAGATTGACATGTAATTGAAAAGAGAAAATTAATAATAATTATACTTGCAGAAATTTTGATGGATCAGTTTGATTTTTCAATAAGATTGGTGACTGATTGCTCTATAATCACATGTATTTTAAGACTATGATGTGTAAAAAATAAAAATAAAAATATTTTTGGTGTTTAGATAGCAAGAAAAATTTTCAGATTTAGGAGAGATGGAATAAAATGCTTTGGGCTTAGGTTTTGATTAATAAAT